GGAGCAGCAGCAGACGGACGGTGGGGATCCCGGGAGACGTGCAGTCCTCGGTGGTGAAGGGCTGCAGGGCCCTCTGTCCCGCTCTCAGTCCCGGCCTCTCCACCCAGCTGGTTCCTGAGCCCGGTTCTCAACAGCCCCCTCTCACCACAGCGCACCTCCCCCAGGCTCAGCAGAGCCCTCTGAGTCTAGTCCGCAGGCATTTTGGGGGGAATCCATTCCCTCGCTCCTGTGCTGGTTGCTGAGACTCGTCTGCACCCTGATTTCAGCGACTCCAAAACACCAGCTTCTGACCAGTCCCTCTGCTGCTCCCCTCCCTGCCCCCCACCCCCCCTTGGCCAGGTCTGACCTCTGCCACCTGCTGGAATGTCCCCAGTGACCATCAGCCTGAGTCCACACTCAGTGCCATGTCCGTGTGTCCGTTCTCAGGCGTCCAGGCCCTCCCCCTCCTCTAGGCCCCACTCCAGCTCCCCACACGTGCGCCCTGCCATTGGACTGCTCTGTGTGCCTTCTTTTTTATTTAAATATATATTTTTAATGATTTCAGAGAGGAAGGGAGAGAGAGATAGAAACATCCACGATGAGAGAGAATCATGGATCGGCTGCCTCCCGCACACCCCACACTGGAGATCAGGCCCGCAACCCAGGCATGTGCCCTGACGGGGAATCGAACCCTGACCTCCTGGTTCATAGGACAATGCCCTGAGGCACGCCGGCCAGGCTCTGTGTGCCTGCCTGCCAGGGCACGTCACCTCTTCCCTGCCTGGTGAATGCCTCTGGGCCGGGGAATTGTAAATCAGCACATGCCGATCCTCTCCCCTCTTCTTTCTGCCCATTTAGGAAGCTCGACCTGCCCAGCCAGGCTTTGGAATCCGCCGCTGAAGGGGACTTTGAGCTGCAGGGATACGCCTTCGAGGCGGCCGAGGAGCAGCTGCGGGGCCCGCGGACCGTGCGTGTGGGGCTTGTGCAGAACAGGATCCCTCTGCCCGCGGATGCCCCTGTGGCCAAGCAGGTGCGGCTGCTTTTGCCCCTAAATAGACACACGGGCCGGGCCTGCTCTGTGTTTTGGACGCATCCACAGCCCCCTGCTGGCCACTTGGTCTAGGCCAGCAGGTGCATCGAGTGCCCAGACACCTCTGCCCTGGCCGCCCCCTCTTCTCCTGCCTGTCTCTCTCCCCCTCTCTCTCTCTCACTCTCTCCCTCTCCCTCTCTTCTTTTTGATTTGCCTCCTCCCCTTCCTCTGCCTTCCTCTGGCTTCTCATGGTTCTTTCCACCTCCACCTCTGCTTCCTCTTCTGCTGTTAATCTGTGGCTCCGTTTTCCCCTGGGGATGGTGCCCTCCTGGCTGGTTCGAACTCCCCACGGAACTCGGCCTCTCAGCCTCCCGCCAGCAGCACCGGTCAGGACCCGCCCGTCTGTCCCGTGTTCCTCCGCCTTGTCCCTCGGCTGGGACTCGCTGTCCCCAGGTGTCCGTCAGCTGAGGGGGCCGCAGGGCTGCGGGATGTGATCGGCGTTTGCTTACAGGGACTCTCCACGGGACAGCTGGTTCTTTAGGTTTCTTCCCTAAGAAACCTGTTGGCGCCGGCGGGCGGGGTGCTGTGTGCACGTCCTCCCGCTTCCCTCCCGTGGCTCCAACCTCCCAGCTCGCTCTGCACAGGTGCCTCCGGCTGCCGCGTGCTCGGGTTTCTTAGGGTCCTCGAGACCCCGGGGATCAAGTGGGTTCCAGGTCGGGTTTCTGCATTGTCCTCACATCGGTTCTTCTTCTGCTTTTTATTATTATTAATAATAATATATTTTTATTGGTTTCAGAGGGGGGAGGAGAGAGAGACCAATGAGGAGAGAGAATCATGGATTGGCTGCCTCCTGCACGCCCCACACTGGGGATCAAGCCCACAACCCGGGCCTGTGCCCTGACCGGGAATAGCACCCTGATCTGGTTCATGGGTCGACGCTTAACCGCTGAGCCACACCGGTCGGGCCTTCCTCTCCTTTGGTTGGATTGAAAGGGTTCTGATTTCCAGATGAGTTGGTTGTCAACATGTCTCCTTGATGGTCCCAGATTGCAGTGTATTCTGTGCGTTGGAAACTAAGGGGGGAATGCAAGGAGGGTCACATGAGAAGGGCGGGGCGGGGGGAGCAAGGCAGGCGCTGGACGGCAGGGTCGTCCCCAAGTTTCCACGCTCTACGGAGGGCTGTTCCACTTCTGGGCGGTCGGAGAGGGTCCTTCCAAAGACGGGCTCACCAAACGCCCGGGGACCAGGGCACAGTGCAGGGCTTGCTTACGACAAAGACAACCTTCTGCGGGGGAAGGTGCAGGCCTGAGGAGGGACTGCCCACAGGACCTGCCCAGTTAGGGTTTGTGATCAGACCGCCCCGTGAAGTCACTTCCCACAGAGCCCCCTTTTGTCCTCAGTTCCCCCTTTCGGTCGGAAGAAGGAGCTGATGACCAGCTCCGGCTTGGATAGTGCGGTCTCAGCTCGAGAAAGTCTCATTCCTAGGAAGTCTCAGTGTCAACATCCTCTTGCTGACCTTGGGGACGGGGCAGTCCCGTCACCACGGAATGTGAGTTGAGGCCGAGTTTTCCCTAAAAGGACAAGGGCAGGTACATGGAAGGGAGTCAGCGCCCGGGACCGTTTCCCTCCCAGGAACCATCATGATCCGAGTCTTGCTGTCTGTCTCATTTTTCTGTATTTTGCATCTAATATAACATTTACATAAGCCATAGCAAGAGCATTAACAGTTATCTTATACACATGTATTCAGTAATCCTAAACAGTTGGATTCTATAGAAAAACCCAATGAACAAATGTAAGTATTATGGCTAATATCGTTAGCAGGAAAGACAAACAGAATAGATTCTGGGTTCAACATCAATCCGTAGGTGTGTGCACAGGCCTCATCAGTGCCTTGGGGTGGCTGTCTACCTCTGATGCCCACAGCTTCTCATCCTAGAGGAGCCAAGGTTAGGGGTCCATTCAGGTGGGGTGCCTGATACAGTCCCTTCCAACCAGGTTGGAGAGTGCCTTTATTTGATGTCCTTTCCAGGTTCACCCAGTTTGACGCTGGGTGGGGCACAGGGGCCTGTGCTGGTACCCAGCTCCGGGTCTGGGCCTGCGGGGTGCTGGGCGGGCTTCTTTAAAATCCTGCCAGCAGCCCGAGCCGATTTGGCTCAGTGGATAGAGCGTCGGCCTGCAGACCGAAGGGTCCCAGGTTCGATTCCAGTCGAGGGCGCGTGCCCGGGTTGCGGGCTGGATCCCCAGGAGGGAGTGTGTAGGAGGCAGCCAATCAATGATTCTCATCATTGATGTTTCTATCTCTTCCTCTCCTTTCCTCTCTGAAATACATACACCTAAATCCTGCCAGCATATGTCGATGTAAGAAACGTCCACGTTTGTAGAAAACTTTTGTGAGTTTATTTGAGCCAAACTGATGATCCTGCTGGGAAGCGAGGTCTCACGTGCTCCCCTAATCCTCGATTTTTAACTTGCCAGGTCTCCGCCCTTCACAGGCGCATAGAGGCCATCGTGGAGGTGGCTGCGATGTGCGGAGTCAACATCATCTGCTTCCAGGAGGCCTGGAGTAAGTCTCTGGGGCGGGGGTGAGGTGGGGGGGTGGCTTTCTCAGCCGCCCTTGGGCAATACTGCGTTATCTCCATGTTGATAAGGGCCTGCTCCGTGGTTTTTAAAAAGTCTCCTTTCTTTTCTCATCCATAGAAAGTTTCTTGTCAACAAAACCAGGAACCCAGGAAGCCCAGCCTCTCTCCCTCCCTTTCACACGCCCCCGTCTGTCATCTGGTCCTATCAGTTCTTCCTCCCAAATCCTTCTGAATCGGTTTTCACTTCCTCTTCTTGTTAATCCTCACCTGAGGATATTTTTCCACTGATTTTTAGAGAGTGGGAGAGGGCCAGGGCAGAGCCTGCAACCGAGGTACGTGCCCCCGACCAGAATGGAACCTGGAACCCTTCGGTCTGCAGGCTGACGCTCTGTCCACTGAGCCGAACTGGCCAGGGCCCCTCCGCCTCAGCACTGCCCAGGTCCCAGGCCCCAGGAGCCGTCACAGTGGCGTCTGTAATCGCCTTCAGCTGGGCTCCTTGTGCCCTGGGCTTCTTTCCCTGAACAGCTTTCTGTTTGCCCTGGAACTGGCTTTGTGTTCTGTATCCTTGCCGCAAATTCTACCCCAGCTCTCTGCCAGTTTCCTAAAGCTGTCTGTTGGTTTCATCTCCTGGAAGGCACGTGGCCCGTGGCCTTCTGGCTCTCTCAGGTCTGAGCTGGGTGTCCCCTCTGCTGGCCAGGGTCGTCCTGGGGTTCCCCATCACCGTCATCCTGGGGAGTTCCTTTGCCTCGCTCTTGTGTTCTCCCATCCCACGCCTTCCTCTTTCTTGGTTTGCTCCCTCATTTAGGGGGAGTACAGTTGATCCTTGAATAACGTAGATTTGACCTGTGAGGGTTCACTTATATATGATTTTGTTTTCATCTAAAACAGACAACCTAAACTTACAGTATCAATAAATACAGCACAGTACCGTCCTGTAAATATATTTTTTCTTTTCTTAATAAGATTTTCTTTCTCTCTAGCTTATGTTATTATAAAAATACAGTATATAATATAGCTAGCACACAAAATATGTGTGACTCGGCTGTTTACGTTATTGGTAAGGCTTCCGGTCAGCAGTAGACTATCAGTCGTTAAGTTTTGGGGGAATCAAACTGGAGGGTTTGTTGCCTCTAACCCCTGTGTTTTCAGGGTCCACTACAGTTCCCTGAGAAAGAACACACAGGAGGTAACGTTTTGGGGACCTTGCACATCTGAAAATATGTTTCTCCTACGACTTGGTTGATAGTTTGGTTGGGTATAGAATTCTAGGTCAGCAATCGTTTTCTTTCAGAAGTTTAAACACCTTGCTCCATGGTCTTCTGGCTTCAGGTAGTTTTCTCCAGAAGTTTGTAGGAGCTTCTCTTTCTCTCTAATACTTTGAAATTGCAGAGTGACATGCTGTTGTATTTATTTTAATCCACTATTCTAAGCACTCCATGGGTTATTTCAGTCTAGAAATTTGGGTCCTTCAAATCTAGGAAATGTGCTTACATTGTTTCATTAGTCATTTTCTCCCCTCCCTTTTTTCTCTGCTTTCTTCCTGATCTCTTGCTATTAGGATATAGGAACTCTGGGCTCAATCCCTATTTTTTTAATGTTTCGTTTTGTGTTTTTTTTACATCTCTGTCTCCCGCCCTCCCCCCCCCCCC